ATGCTGGGTTTCATTGTTTTTTTTTTTACTCAGGCGTTTAAAAAGATCTTATTTTAGAGCAGTAATCACAATATCGTGATACCATGAAAACGTAATATTTTTATCCAAGGTTATTTTACTGTCAGAAATGTATACCGGCCCATGCCTAGTGTGTATATCTGTAGAGCATACCTTGTTGTTGTTTCTAAATAGATTTGTTCCAACATAGCTCTACAAAACATCTTCATTTTGACTCGTTTTCACAGCAGTCCATTGAAAGACTAACAAACCTGATTCTATTTACAGAAACCATGAAACTCTTACATTTGATGCCACTCGTATTTAAAGATAAGGCTTCAGCACCATCTGCATATACTGTACCACACAGACGGGAAGTGAGAGCTGAGATGGCACAGATACCGCGCAGATCAGCCAACCAGCACCGCCACACATTCAGACCGCAGGTATGTGTTAGATAAGAAGCAATGTCTCTATCCGGGCTGTTTAACACTGCTCAGGTATGATGGGAATGCAGAGAAACTGTAGATCTGAGCTGAATGCCACTGGTGGGCTTTCTTGGGGTACATTTTGGATTTACAGTGCCCTCCATTCTTATCCAATATTTGATATGAGCAAAGAAACCTGGGAAAATGTCTTTGTTGTTTAACCTTTCAATATTTTTTGCTCAGAATATTTACCAAATGACTGAAGATTTAAGGTTGAGTAGAGACTTTGCTCACTTAAAACCCTTCCAGTAATCTGTGGTGATGCAGGTGATGTGTAATTGTAGTTTTGGAGACTGCTGATGGTCTTGTTTGTTTGTTTTTTGCACAAGCTCCAAAATTGAATGAGCTAAGCTATCAGTTGCTCTACCTAAAATGTAGCTTAACTACAATGAAACTGCCCACTGGGAAATGTAGCAAGCTAAGATAAGAGCTACGTGGCTAAAGTTGCTTCGCTATATCTAAGCTTTTTATATATATATATATATATAATTGAATTAAACTAACTTTAATCTAAGTCACTTCTATCGTAACAGGAGGTATAATTGTAGCTTAATGTATTTAACAGCCATTCCAAACAGTAGAAATAAATTATACCAAATATGACAACAAAAGCAGTCACACTTTACAATGAGGTCCTATTAGTTGATGTTAGATATTGTATTTAATAACATATACTGACAATGAAAATCTTCCACAGCATTTATTAATTATAGTTCAGCATTTACTAATTATTAAAATCCAAATTTATGCTTCTTAACATAGTTATTGCACCATTAACCGTGAACTTTTTTAAATTAACGTTAACATAAATGAATAAAATATTGTAATAAATGCACTGCATTAAATTATACATTACATTACATTAACTAATACAATCGTATTGTAAAGTGTTGCCACTAATACTAACAATCTAATACACAATAATATAACCAGTTGTTTTACACAAAAAATGTATTTAATAATTTATAATAAAGGGAAACAAAAAGTTTATTATATTCTTTGTTAATGAATGATACTGAATACTATAGTATCAACTATTATGAACTAATAAACGCTGTACTTTAGCATTTAGTATTTTGCGGTACAATCGCTATCATGAAAGCATTAACTAAAACTTTAGCTCAATAAACTAGTTAGTAGTTGTAGGTAGTAGTATTGGTATTGGGTAGAATGAGAGATGTAGAAAAAGGCAGATAATAAGCCAGTAGTTATTAGTGTGAATTATTAGTCTCATCTTTAGCTTTTACTACATTAAACATTAAAGACAGAATGGTTTTTACGACACTCTGTCACAGAAGGAGGACAGAGACCAGAGCTGTAAGTATAAAGACAATTTCAAGAGTTCACACTTACACTGCACATTTTTGATAGTAGATGTTAAAATTAACACTCCCTCTGAGTTTATATGGGAACCACTATAAAAGTGTTTAAAAAAAAAAACTTTTAAAAAAAGTTAACATTATCAACACTCCTATATTGTAAAATATAAACACCATAAAGGATCATAAACAACAAGTGTTATGTGTTAACACTCGTCGGTCAAATTTTCAACACCGTACAAAAACAAAAATAGAACTTGTTTAATATCAGCAACACTTTATAAACTATTTGATAAATGTTTAAAGAAAACAACAACCGTACACCGTCACAACCGTATATTCTCGTATTGGAACCAAAAAGAGCAGTTTTAAAACAGCTTTTTCTCCTTTATTCTTAATGTAACTTAGCTAGTACAGAACAAAATAAAAATGAAAATTTATGCTTTTTTGTGAGATATTTAACGTATATATATGATTTGGATGTCAAATGTCTATATACAAACATTTTAAGTACTTTTACTCACTAGTTGCTTCTTCTCATTGCTCCTTGTGGCAAAAGAAAATGGCATCTGGAAAAATCCTACAGGGATATTGCTGCATAAATTCCCGGATGTAGTAGTCAACACTGTATTAGTGTTAAATACATGTAACTCTGTATGACAAATCAGCTTCTAACACAGAGAGTGTTATTTTATCTTTATGTATTGCTTGATAATAATAGCAGGTTTGGCATGCTGTCCCGAGAGACAGACCTGAGCTCGGATATAATTGAGCCCAGGGCTCCCGCCTGGTCAATTAGCATGTGAGGGGGTGCGAGATCAAGAAGTTGTGATGAGGAAATGGGGTGGATGGGGGGATTCTTCAAAAAACAAAAATGAGGGAGTAGTGCTAGTCGGGCTATTTATAGTGGGTTTGGAATGATCTGATTGGCTTACTAATGATTACAGATGAGAGACCAGATGCGATCAATCATATCACATGGTCCTCTCGCAATTGGTTTGTGAAATGTCTGATGGCAGATGAATAGTATGACCAACGAGAATCTATTTGCTGCAGAGATGTAGATGTGGACCATATGATTTGGAGGGACCGGAAGATGAGATGGAGCACGGAGGGATCGGGAAGCAGACAACCGGACAAGACCATGAGAGAATCAAACTAGGAAGGAGAGATGAGGAATAACAAGAAAACAAGACAAAGCAAAAGACAGGTAAGGATACTATTAGAAATAGCTACTGTAGATAACACTGACCGTGGGAGAGTTTGTCCCTCTGTTTATCGACAAGGCTGTACACTGAGTGGAGTGATGTGCTGGGGCTGATGTGATTTAGTGCGGGGCTAATCAGAATATCAGAATACAAGTGAGGGTGATCGGAGTGACTGTGGTGAATGTAAGTGAGGAGAACCTGGCCTGGTTGTTACACTTTGGGGTTTTTTATATTTACTTTATTAAAATCACACTCTTAGATCTGATGATCGCCCCTCAAGTGTGATGTTTAGTAATATTGCATTACTCATGTGATATTGCTCATTTGTTTATTTGATCAAATTTTGGCTTGTTTTTGCAATTGCTTGTCCTCGAAGAGAGCAGAATAGATGTTTACCTGTTTTGCCTGTATTTACCAAGTGTGCCAGTGTCTGCGGATGGTACTATATAGATAAAGTAATCATTAAAGTTGTGTTATGGATATCTGTTGAAGAGTGAAAGAAAAGTTATGGGATTTAAAGTATGAGCTGCAATCCAGTTCAACTGTCCCTGCCAAGACTCCTTCAGGACACAAAGTTTATTTTCAGGAGATCTTGAGGCACTCCTCCAGGCCTGTGAAAGGGCTCAGCGGGAAGAGGCAACAGTACAGAAATTATAGAGACAGCCATCTTTTTTTGGCAAAAATTAGGAAGGATGAAGATTATAAGTGTTATAATCCACCTGGGAGTGTTAAAGATTTTTTTTAGGAAGTTATTGTTCATGCAGGAAAAAATAATGACAATTTTATATTGTATCTTAACCGTTTTGTTTTGTTTTTTAAAGAGCAATATACTTGTTTGGTGTTGGATTAAACAGATATGCGAAATATGTCTGGTTGCATAATGGTAAGAAATCTGGAGACTGGAATGTTTTGGCTCAAGAAAGCCTAAATATATATATTTTAAATGTTTCCTTGGGAATTCACAGAAAGACAAATAATTTATGTAATACTGTTATGTAGAGGGTTTCTGTGGGGTCTTAAAAAGTCTTAAATCTCAAAATCCAAATCTTAGACCTTAAAAAGTTCTATATTTACTGTAATACTGTGTTATTGCTCTTAAATCTTTTTAAACAGGTTTTAATTTTCCTTTGTTCATGCATTGCTATACAATCTGTGCAAGACTCATACAATCACCAACAATCCACCTCAATGAAACTTTAAACTTTTTATTTAAAAAGGTAATGTTTAACTCTATTTATCATAATGGTTTAATTATTTTCCTTACAATGACATTTGTTTCTCCATGTACTGCTGAGGACACTGACCTGGACAGATTGTTGTCCATAGATTTAGTTTATTATAGTTTTTAAATCTTTAAAACATTTGTTCATTTTATTATTATTTTAAAGAAGTTTATGTTGAGAAAAAAACATATGGATACAAGTAGATCTTTCTTGTTTTTACACAATATTTAAAACATTTAGCTAAGAATAAAATCTAAAATATTTGAATTGTTTATTATTAATGTATTATTAGTATTAAATTATATATATATTTTTTTGATAGGTCAAATAAATTTCTTTTTCATCTGGGTAATTAAAAAAAATCCTTAGTCTTTAGCGCTTTATGAGTCTAATATTTAATTCAAAATGGTCTTAAAATGTCTTTAAAAGGTGAAACCTGTAAGAAAAAAGTAAGAAGTCAGTGTACAATCAGTAACTGGTCACATAATAAAGAAAAACAAGACATGATGTTGATTTTATAATCCTTTAATAATTCACCAGTATATAAGAAACACACACATGACATATATAGTGCATTTGCATATGTGTATAATAATAATATAATGACAATACATTCAAAACATTCATGACATATTAATTAATCAACAAAAGCACTCATATGTAAGTTGCCCTGCACTATTAAAGAAGATGACAAGGCAACAATATAATACAAAGAGCAATCCAATGCAGCAGTCCTCAGATGTGCTAGGGTTGCTGAGTTGTTAGTCCTGTCTTACTCCATGACCTGAAACATAAATCAGTGTTATTCGTCTAAATACATTACATTTTGCACAGAGTTTAAAGGATTAGTTCACCCATAAATGAAAATCCCGTTTTTAATCACTCATTCCAATCCCCTAAGACTTCTGCTCATCTTCAGTAGCTTTTTTTTAGGTGCACAAATATGTTCCTGGACCTTGGTTTGATTACAGTTAATGTCACATGCAATGTTTTAACCTTTTCTGGACTTTGAACACCTCAGGACTGTTCCTGTCTAAGAAGGATGAGAACTCCTGGATTTGACCTAAGACAGAGGTGCTCAACCCTGTTCCTGGAGATCTACCTTCCTACAGAGTTCAGCTCCAACTCTGATTAAGCACACCTGAAGCAATTATTTAGGACCTGAACAGCACTTGATAATTACAGGCAGGTGTGTTTGACATGAGTTGCAACTGAAATCTTCAGGAAGGTGGATCTCCAGGAACGGGGTTGAGCTCTCCTGATATCTTAATTTGTGTTCTGAAGATGAAAGTCTCAGTGGGTTGGAACGACATGAGGGTGAGTAATTAATAACAGAATTTTCTTTTTTGGGGGGTTAAGTAATGCTTCAAGACTTAAGATCAGCTGTGTCCAAACTTTTTTTATGAAGGGCTAAAAACCAGTCTTGACTGAGCGTGTTGGACCAAAGTATACCAAACTCATTACATTAAAGTTGCCATTGGTGATTTCCTAAGTTATTCAACATTTAAACAAAACTAGAGAGCATTGATTTATATTAACTAATGCAGTATTTATTCGTTCAGTAAAAACAATCCTATTTATAACAGTGGAGTTACACTAGTCAAGCTGCACCTGTTTTTTGCCTTGATGTGCATCACTGATGTGTTCCTCTATTTATTGAGTGACTATTTATATTTAATATAACATTTAATCGAATCTTTTACTTTCAGTTTGTGTTTTTGTTGTCATTCTCACTCTCTATTTAGATGGGATGGTGGGCCAAATCAAAGGGCAAATCAAGTTATCAAAGGCTAACTTTGGCCTTCAGACTCTGGTTTGGACACCTCTGCTTAAGATGATCAACAAAAATGAAAGCCATTTAGCTTTAGGCTTCATACCTTAAACCAGTTATGGAGATGCATCTCCTGCAGAGCGAGTCTCTCATCTGGGTTTGGCTGTAGACAACCGCAGATCATCTGGCAGCATTCTGTGCAGAAAGAAGAATGGGGTGTTTAAGTTTAATAGTTTATAGATCTTATTTTACAATGCCGAAGTGCGTTAGTACTTCCGATTCAGTTGCCTATGGGAGAAATGACTAGGAATAATAAACAGTCAAACTGCTCGCTCTACAAACAAGTGTGTTCACTTGTGTGAATAAGATTGGAAGTCTCGAACCAAAAAGATTACAATGGTTGCACACGCTCGTACGTCAAAAATAGTTATAAGACCTGCTCTCTTCACACTTTGATGAAGCTCTCACCTATTGACAGGCCAGGGCTAGACCAAAGATAGTCCCTGATCAAGGAGTGGTCGGAGACAGTGGGTAAAGCCCCACACATCAATGCGAACAGGACGATCCCTAGAGACCAAACAGTCGCTGGCTGTGCATGGTACCTGCCATGCAATTCGTACTCCGGAGGGAAATATGTTCTTGTTCCTAGAAAAAAAAGATATCATCCAATGGTTTATATGTTTAAACAGAATCTTCAGCGTGTGGTTTTTATGACAACAAAGTTCATAACACTTACCACAGAAGACTTTGTAGCCAGATTTCTTTACGATCGCACCACAGCCGAAGTCTATTAGCTTTACCTCCAAAGTGTCTGGATTCACCAGGAGGTTTTCAAGCTTTATGTCCCGATGGAAGACACCGCGATCAAAGCAAACGCTCACAGCATGAATGGCCTGCCGCATTATATGGCGTCCCGTCTTCTCATCAAGAGGTCCATCCTTGTGGCGTAAGAAGTGAAGCAAGTCCATACAAGGTATGGGTCGCTCCATGATTATAATGTAGTGGGCATCGTTGTCCTCCCAGTCTAGGAGTTGGATTATCTCGGGGACGTAGGGACCATTGTTGGCCATGATTGTCAGGGCAATTTCTGTAGGGAGGGGTTTGTCATAACCAGGCTAAAGGAGAGAAATGATGACAGTTAGACAGTTTCCTGAAGCTCTCTTACTAAAAACTCAATTGTAATCGGACATTAACATACATATAAGGCTCTGAAACAATCTAATCAAGTGGATTTATCTAAATACTGTTGTAAATGGAAAGCACAAAGCAAAACAAAAGCCTTACTTTACTTGCTTACGTACTTACTAAAAGGACATGTTTTCATTTACTATATAATGTCTTCAATCCCATTTTGTCCCATCCTAAGAAAATCAAATCTAGAATCAAATCAAATCATGACATTGAATTGTATCTGGACTACTCACCACTGTCATTTCCTTCATCTTCGGTGACTTGACAGTACATTTCACAGCAACCTGATCAACAAAGCAAAGAATTAGCAGTTAGCATGTGGTAGAAGTTTTGAATAAAGCAATGATAAAGCAATGTTTTGTTAGTGAAAGCACCTCAAGTCCATCCCTGCGGCGTGTGGCTTTGTAGACAGAGCCGAATCCACCTTTGCCCAGCTTGTCACCCATTTCATAATGCCTTAAAATGGTGTCTGTCAAAAAATAAACAACTGCAGTCAGTATGATGTACAATTTTAGATATATATATATATTTTGTATTCACGTTTGTAATACTAATAACAATTCCTATCTTACCATTTTCTGTGTCGTCCTCCTCTAGCTGCTCAGCAGCAGGGACATGGTCTTCTGAAGCAGAAGCTGTAATACGAATCAAGTCACCGTTGTGTAAATAGCACTTTATATAATACAGATTATCATGTTTTTTAATTAGTCTATGAATGTAAAGTCACATATTTAGACTTATTTTAATTTCATCCCACACAGAAATCTGATATATGTCAATTTGATATACTGTATGTACTGTGTGTGTGTGTGTGTGTGTAGCCACAAATAAACATATACATATATTATTATAGCTAATATATTTGTACATATTACATATTTGCTTATTTTTTACTACTTATTTTTGCATATATGTACATATTTATAATGCAAATGGTTGAAAAAACAAATATAAACGGCCATTTTTTGCAATCATTTAACATATATGACACATTTTACATGCAAAATCCAAATATGAACTTGTATGTCATATTTGTAATTTGCATATATTTTCATATATCACATTTCTATAGAACATTTGAGGGATGTAAACATTAACAGTGGTTCTAACATATATCCTGTTTTACATTTTTCATTTCCACAGCTTCCGAGAATACAGAAATTTCCACATATTGATAAATATTGCTATGATAGCTTTTTTAACGTTAAATTATGATTGGATTTGCCTTTTATTAAGGTTTCGAAATAGTTTGACATCAAGCAGAAATTGTTTATGGGCCAATGATATTAATACATTAAAATTGTATATACAAGACCAGTTATAAAAATATTACTTGATTAGAGATTTGGCCATGAAACAATACTTGTATCATAATCACTTGTGAGTGTGATTTTACCTCTACTAGACTTCCAGACGTCCTTTTCTTCTTTACTCGCTTCAGGAACCTCATCAGGCCCAATGGGTGTTTCAATGGGCTGACTAGAAACTTTTTGATTTAACATGGCTTCATGGTAGTCTTTCGTGGCCTGGACAAGGTCGTATGTTCTAGTTTTGTAAAGGAAGTCTGGCCACTTCCAGAAGCCCTTTTTCTCCTTTCTCGCTTTAGCAACCTCATCAGGCCCAACGGGTGTTTCAATGGGCCGACTAGAAACTTTTTGCTCTAACATGGCTTCATGGTAGTTCTTCGTGGCCTGGACCAGGTTGAATTTTCCAGTTTTGCGACGGAAGACTGGCCACTTCCAGAAGCCTTTTTTTACATTTCTTACTTCTGGAACCTCTTCAGGCCCAACAGGTGTTTCAATGGGCTGACAAGAAACTTTCTGATATACCTCAGCCTCATACTGGTATTTCTTCGCAGCCTGGACAAGGTCGTATTTTCCAGTTTTGCGACGAAGAACTGGCCACTTCCAGAAGCTTCTCTTTTTCTCCTTTCTCCCTATCTTTCCAACCTCAACATGCGGCTCATCAGAAAGATGAAGATGGTTCTCCGGCATGTTGGGGGTGTACTTGAGTAGTACACAGGGACTGTGATCAAACTGCATGATGACAAATGTTTTCTGATAACTTTCTGATAAACTGTAATAGTAAACCGATCAATCTGCAACTCGAAATGCCAAAACTACAACCGACAAAAGCAAGTAGTAGAATGTCAGGCGATGATGTCATCCAGGCGCATTCTAAGAATTTTAATATGGAAGGCTTTGGGCTGTTGTTATTTTTCAAATATTTTAATTTGTGCAAGTTTAAAATCAATGGGATCCTTTGCTGTTTTGTGTTTATAGTGGTTTGTAAATGCAGCACAGGGTTGCTTACAGGCTAAAATTATTAAGAAACCTGCATGGAGGAGTACATCAGATGTCTATATTGTGCCAATTGTATTGTATTGGGTCAATATTTGATGGCAGCCTCATACACATGCTGCTATCTGTGTTGTTATTAATGTTAAAAGAAGAAAATGACTCACTTTTTGTGACTTGTAAGGATAAAAATTATACATATACATAAATATGAATGTATACGTCCCTTAATTTGTATATACATTTTTAATGAGGTCCAAGTTATCAAGGTGAACCAACAGAGTGTCTTTATTTTCATACTCTTATTTCTTGGCTATCAATTTTTAATGACATTATGAATAATTAAATTCAGCAAAGAAGCAGTGGATATACTTTAATTCTATGATTTACCACAAATTTTGTTACAAATCTCTGAAATATTCTTGCAAAATATGACATTTTGTAAGGAAATATCCAAGAAAATGTGTAAGGCTTTGTCTTGCGTTGACTGCTAAGTGTATTTTATAAATTCTGTGATGTACAGACATGGAAAAACATTCTCAGTTTGACTAAAACATAAGTTTTTGTTTCATTCTACACAATTCTAATCAAATGTATTCCCAATTTATTATAAATATATTGCCATTTTAGCATAAATCATTTTAAAATGTAAGTAGAAGTAAGTTTTAGACAAGTTTATAAAAGTTTAGTTTATTAAAAGTTAAGAAATCAATAGCTTAGGGCACATTAAGCTCATCAAATAAAAACTTTTGTTACTTTGACCAACTTTTATTGTATGAAAATTAAAAATGCTCTAAATGACAATGTTTTTATTTAAAGTTTGGAAGAAATTGTATCAGTCCTTTATAGAATAAAACTAATAATAACAGCTTCCTCAAACCCATAACTAGCAAACCCAGAGAAATGGAGAATCTCTAATTCCCAAATGCAGGGTTCCACACAATTTATTCAGGCTATCCCAACACAAATAGACTAAGTTAATAAAATAAATTTAAGTAGATTGAACATAAAACAATTGAGTTATCTCCAAAAAAATCTCAAGAATTGTGTTGCTTCAGCTCATTTTACTTAAGCTGTCTTTTGGCTGGGGGGATGTGTTTATACTTATAAGTGTTTACTTTGATTAATTATGACTGTTTGGTGTCTAATGTGTTTTAAACAATGAACTTATGAACATCTACAGATGTTTATACTTATACCTTTTAATAAGTGTATGTTGGTTTATGTCAAAGGGGCGGGGCTTCGCCTTTAAAAGGCAGCCCAAACGCCAATTCACTGTCAATTAACCTGGCGAGTGAGCAAGTAACTGTGGTGGCGTAAGCAATTTGTGACCTGCGTATACTAGTGAGGTTGTACATATATCATTTGTTTGTTTGCTGTGTATTTGTTCTTTTATTTTTGGTTATTTTGTCACTTTGCTGGGTTTTTAGGTTGTTTTGATTTTTACTCTCGCACACTGTAAATAAATGTATAAATTCCTAAGGTTTTCTCGCTTTACCATACATTGAGAACCCAGTGCGAGTCTTCCTGCTACGTCAACCTCACATTTGGTAGCAAAATCAGCAGCAATTTTATGTAATTTTATTTTTATAGCTGTATATTGTGACTCAAAAGATCAAAATATTACAAATATTATGGACACACAAGCACTTATATACTTAATATTTGATTGTCATCACATTAGACAACAAAATGACGTTTGCCTGAAAACCTTATGCTGAAATAAGAGCACTTTAAAAGCTTATTTGACAAAAATCATGACTACAACTTTTTTATGTTACTTTAACTTATTTAAATAGGGTAATCATGCTCCAACTACATATTTTTTCAGTTTTTCAAAGTTTAACTTAATATTTTAGTCAGTTTGATTAATATAAGTTTGAATAGAAAAGTTAAAAACAGTGTAGTTATAACCTGTAGTCTGTTAGACTTGCTGCATGTTTATTTAGGTCAATGTCTGTTCATGCTCTTCTCTTTCTGTGCTATCAAACAGACTCATATATATATAATCTATGCTTTACGTTATAAATCAGCTCCTCCTAGCATTCGTCATGTGGTATATCGCACACGATAGCTTTTTCTTTATCTGGAGATTATAAGTGTTATAATCTACTTAGGAGTGTTAAAGATTTTTTTTTAGGAAGTTATTGTTCATGCAGGAAAAAATAATGACAATTTTATATTGTATCTTAACCGTTTTGTTTTGTTTTTTAAAGAGCAATATACTTGTTTGGTGTTGGATTAAACAGATATGCGAAATATGTCTGGTTGCATAATGGTAAGAAATCTGGAGACTGGAATGTTTTGGCTCAAGAAAGCCAAAATATATATATTTTAAATGTTTCCTTGGGAATTCACAGAAAGACAAATAATTTATGTAATACTGTTATGTAGAGGGTTTCTGTGGGGTCTTAAAAAGTATTAAATCTCAAAACCCAAATCTTAGGCCTTAAAAAGTTCTAGATTTACTGTAATACTGTGTTATTGCTCTTAAATCTTTTTAAACAGGTTTTAATTTTCCTTTGTTCATGAATTGCTATACAATCTGTGCAAAACTCATACAATCACCAACAATCCACCTCAATGAAACTTTAAACTTTTTATTTAAAAAGGTAATGTTTAACTCTATTTATTATAATGGTTTAATTATTTTCCTTACAATGACATTTGTTTCTCCATGTACTGCTGAGGACACTGACCTGGACAGATTGTTGTCCATAGATTTAGTTTATTATAGTTTTTAAATCTTTTAAAACATGTTCATTTTATTATTATTTTAAAGAAGTTTATGTTGAGAAAAAACCGTATGGATACAAGTAGATCTTTCTTGTTTTTACACAATATTTAAAACATTTAGCTAAGAATAAAATCTAAAATATTTGAATTGTTTATTATTAATGTATTATTAGTATTAAATTATATATATATTTTTTTTTGATAGGTCAAATAAATTTCTTTTTCATCTGGGTAATTAAAAAAAATCCTTAGTCTTTAGCGCTTTATGAGTCTAATATTTAATTCAAAATGGTCTTAAAATGTCTTTAAAAGTTGAAACCTGTAGGAAAAAAGTAAGAAGTCAGTGTACAATCAGTAACTGATCACATAATAAATAAAAACAAGACATGATGTTGATTTTATGATGCTTTAATAATTCACCAGTATATAAGAAACACACATGACATATATAGTGCATTTGCATATGTGAATAATAATAATATAATGACAATACATTCAAAACATTCATGACAAATTAATTAATCAACAAAGGTAATCATATGTAAGTTGCCCTGCACTATTAAAGAAGATGACAAGGCAACAATATAATACAAAGAGCAATCCAATGCAGCAGTCCTCAGGTGTGCTAGGGTTGCTGAGTTGTTTTTCCTGTCTTACTCCATGACCTGAAACATAAATCAGTGTTATTCGTCTAAATACATTACATTTTGGACAGAGTTTAAAGGATTAGTTCACCCATAAATGAAAATCCCGTTTTTAATCACTCATTCCAATCCCCTAAGACTTTTGCTCATCTTCAGTAGCTTTTTTTTAGGTGCACAAATATGTTCCTGGACCTTGGTATGATTACAGTTAATGTCACATGCAATGTTTTAACCTTTTCTGGACTTTGAACACCTCAGGACTGTTCCTGTCTAAGAAGGATGAGAACTCCTGGATTTGATCTAAGACAGAGGTGCTCAACCCTGTTCCTGGAGATCTACCTTCCTACAGAGTTCAGCTCCAACTCTGATTAAGCACACCTGAAGCAATTAATTAGCCTGAACAGCACTTGATAATTACAGGCAGGTGTGTTTGACATGAGTTGCAACTGAAATCTTCAGGAAGGTGGATCTCCAGGAACGGGGTTGAGCACTCCTGATATCTTAATTTGTGTTCTGAAGATGAAAGTCTCAGTGGGTTGGAACGACATGAGGGTGAGTAATTAATAACAGAATTTTCTTTTTTGGGGGGTTAAGTAATGCTTTAAGACATAAGATCAGCTGTGTCCAAACTTTTTTTATGAAGGGCCGAAAACCAATCTTGACTGAGCGTGTTGGACCAAAGTATACCAAACTCATTACATTAAAGTTGCCATTGGTGATTTCCTAAGTTATTCAACATTTAAACAAAACTAGAGAGCATTGATTTATATTAACTAATGCTGTATTTATTCATTCAGTAAAAACAATCCTATTTATAACAGTGGAGTTACACTAGTCAAGCTGCACCTGTTTTTTGCCTTGATGTGCATCACTGATGTGTTCCTCTATTTATTGAGTGACTATTTATATTTAATATAACATTTAATCGAAACTTTTACTTTTAGTTTGTGTTTTTGTTGTCATTCTCACTCTCTATTTAGATGGGATGGTGGGCCAAATCAAAGGGCAAATCAAGTTATCAAAGGCTAACTTTGGCCTGCAGACTCTGGTTTGGACACCTCTGCTTAAGATGATCAACAAAAATGAAAGCCATTCAGCTTTAGGCTTCATACCTTAAACCAGTTATGGAGATGCATCTCCTGCAGAGCGAGTCTCTCATCTGGGTTTGGCTGTAGACAACCGCAGATCATCTGGCAGCATTCTGTGCAGAAAGAAGAATGGGGTGTTTAAGTTTAATAGTTTATAGATCTTATTCTACAATGCCGAAGTGCGTTAGTACTTCCGATTCAGTTGCCTATGGGACAAATTACTTGGAATAATAAACGGTCAAACTGCTCGCTCTACAAACAAGTGTGTTCATGACTGTACATAAAAAGTAGAATGATATAATAAGACAATGTCGGTGTGCAACATTAACCAGCATAGCAAGCAGTTTTTAACATTTTAAAATCAATGGAAGTGAATAAGATTGGAAGTCTCGAACCAAAAAGATTACAATGGTTGCACACGCTCGTACGTCAAAAATAGTTATAAGACCTGCTCTCTTCACACTTTGATGAAGCTCTTACCTATTGACAGGCCAGGGCTAGACCAAAGATAGTCCCTGATCAAGGAGTGGTCGGAGACAGTGGGTAAAGCCCCACACATCATTGCGAACAGGACGATCCCTAGAGACCAAACAGTCGCCGGCTGTGCATGGTACCTGCCATGCAATTCGTACTCCGGAGGGAAATATGTTCTTGTTCCTAGAAAAAAAAGATATCATCCAATGGTTTATATGTTTAAACAGAATCTTCAGTGTGTGGTTTTTATGACAACAAAGTTCATAACACTTACCACAGAAGACTTTGTAGCCTGATTTCTTTACGATCGCACCACAGCCGAAGTCTATTAGCTTTACCTCCAAAGTGTCTGGATTCACCAGGAGGTTTTCAAGCTTTATGTCCCGATGGAAGACACCGCGATCAAAGCAAACGCTCACAGCATGAATGGCCTGCCGCATTATATGGCGTCCCGTCTTCTCATCAAGAGGTCCATTCTTGTGGCGTAAGAAGCCAAGCAAGTCCATACAAGGTATGGGTCGCTCCATGATTATAATGTAGTGGCCATCATTGTCCTCCCAGTCTAGGAGTTGGATTATCTCGGGGACGTAGGGACCATTGTTGGCCATGATTGTCAGGGCAATTTCTGTAGGGAGGGGTTTGTCATAACCAGGCTAAAGGAGAGAAATGATGACAGTTAGACAGTTTCCTGAAGCTCTCTTAATCAAAACTCAATTGTAATCAGACATTAACATACATATAAGGCTCTGAAACAATCTAATCAAGTGGATTTATCTAAATACTTATCTAAATGGAAAGCACAAAGCAAAACAAAAGCCTTACTTTACTTGCTTACGTACTTACTAAAAGGACATGTTTTCATTTACTATATAACGTCTTCAATCCCATTTTGTCCCATCCTAAGAAAATCAAATCTAGAATCAAATCAAATCATGACATTGAATTGTATCTGGACTACTCACCACTGTGAGTTCCTTCATCTTCGGTGACTTGACAGTACATTTCACAGCAACCTGATTAACAAAGCAAAGAATTAGCAGTTAGCATGTGGTAGAAGTTTTGAATAAAGCAATGATAAAGCAATGTTTTGTTAGTGAAAGCACCTCAAGTCTATCCCTGCGGCGTGTGGCTTTGTAGACAGAGCCGAATCCACCTTTGCCCAGCTTGTCACCCATTTCGTAATACCTTAAAATGGTTTCTGTCAAAAAATAAACAACTGCAGTCAGTATGATGTACAATTTTAGATATAAATTTTTTTATTCACGTTTGTAATGCTAATAACAATTCCTATCTTACCATTTTCTGTGTCGTCCTCCTCTAGCTGCTCAGCAGCAGGGACATGGTCTTCTGAAGCAGAAGCTGTAATACGAATCAAGTCACCGTTGTGTAAATAGCACTTTATATAATACAGATTATCATGTTTTTTAATTAGTCTATGAATGTAAAGTCACATATTTAGACTTATTTTAATTTCATCCCACACAGAAATCTGATATGTCAATTTGATATACTGTATGTACTGTGTGTGTGTGTGTGTGTAGCCACAAATAAACATATACATATATTATTATAGCTATTATATTTGTACATATTACATATTTGCTTATTTTTTACTTCTTATTTTTGTATATATGTACATATTCATAATGCAAGTGGTTGAAAAAACAAATATAAACGGCCATTTTTTGCAATCATTTAACATATATGACACATTTTACATGCAAAATCCAAAAATGAACTTGTATGTCATATTTGTAATTTGCATATATTTTCATATATCACATTTCTATAGAACATTTGAGGGATGTAAACATTAACAGTGGTTCTAACATATATCCTGTTTTACATTTTTCATTTCCACAGCTTCCGAGAATACAGAAATTTCCACATATTGATAAATATTGCTATGATAACTGTTTTAACGTTAAATTATGATTGGATTTGCCTTTTATTAAGGTTATGAAATAGTTTGACATCAAGCAGGAATTGTTCACGGGCCAATGATATTAATACATTAAAACGGTATATACAAGACCAGTTATAAAAATATTACTTGATTAGAGATTTGGCCATTAAACAATACTTGTATCATAATCACTTGTGAGTGTGATTTTACCTCTACTAGACTTCCAGACGTCCTTTTCTTCTTTACTGGCTTCAGGAACCTCATCAGGCCCAACGGGTGTTACAATGGGCTGACTAGAAACTTTTTGCTCTAACATGGCTTCATGGTAGTCCTTCGTGCCCTGGACGGGGTCGGATGTTCTAGTTTTGCGACGGAAGACTGGCCACTTCCAGAAGCCTTTCTTTACCTTTCTCACTTCTGGAACCTCTTCAGGCCCAACAGGTGTTTCAATGGGCTGACAAGAAACTTTCTGATATACCTCAGCCTCATACTGGTATTTCTTCGCAGCCTGGACAAGGTCGTATTTTCCAGTTTTGCGACGAAGAACTGGCCACTTCCAGAAGCTTCTCTTTTTCTCCTTTCTCCCTATCTCTCCAACCTCAACATGCGGCTCATCAGAAAGATGAAGATGGTTCTCCGGCATGTTGGGGGTGTACTTGAGTAGTACACAGGGACTGTGATCAAACTGCATGATGACAAATGTTTTCTGATAACTTTCTGATAAACTGTAATAGTAAACCGATCAATCTGCAACTCGAAATGCCAAAACTACAACCGACAAAAGCAAGTAGTAGAATGTCAGGCGATGATGTCATCCAGGCGCATTCTAAGAATTTTAATATGGAAGGCTTTGGGCTGTTGTTATTTTTCAAATGTTTTAATTTGTGCAAGTTTGAAATGAATGGGATCCTTTGCTGTTTTGTGTTTATAGTGGTTTGTAAATGCAGCACAGGGTTGCTTACAGGCTAAAATTATTACGAAACTTTATGGAGGAGTACATCAGATGTCTATATTGTGCCAATTGTATTGTATTGGGTCAATATTTGATGGCAGCCTCATACACATGCTGCTATCTGTGTTGTTATTAATGTTAAAAGAAGAAAATGACTCACTTTTTGTGACTTGTAAGGATAAAAATTATACATATACATAAATATGAATGTATACGTCCCTTAATTTGTATATACATTTTTAATGAGGTCCAAATTATCAAGGTGAACCAACAGAGTGTCTTTATTTTCATACTCTTATTTCTTGGCTATCCATTTTTAATGACATTAAGAATAATTAAATTCAGCAAAGAAGCAGTGGATATACTTTAATTCTATAATTTACCACAAATTTTGTTACAAATCTCTGAAATATTCTTGCAAAATATGACATTTTGTAAAGAAATATCCAAGAAAATGTGTATGGCTTTGTCTTGCGTTGACTGCTAAGTGTATTTTATAAATTCTGTGATGTACAGACATGGAAAAACATTCTCAGTTTGACTAAAACATACGTTTTTGTTTCATTTTACAAATTTATTCCCAATTTATTATAAATATATTGCCATTTTAGCATAAATCATATTAAAATGTAAGTAGAAGTAAGTTTTAGACAAGTTTATAAAAGTTTAGTTTATTAAAAGTTAAGAAATCAATAGCTTAGGGCACATTAAGCTCATCAAATAAAAACTTTTGTTGTTTTGACCAACTTTTATTGTATGAAAATTAAAAATGCTCTAAATGACAATGTTTTTATTTAAAGTTTGGAAGAAATTGTATCAGTCCTTTATAGAATAAAACTAATAATAGCAGCTTCCTCAAACCCATAACTAGCAAACCCAGAGAAATGGAGAATCTCTAATTCCCAAATGCAGGGTTCCACACAATTTATTCAGGCTATCCCAACACAAATAGACTAAGTTAATGAAACTAATTTAAGTGGATTGAACATAAAACAATTGAGTTATCTCCAAAAAAATATCAAGAATTGTGTTGCTTCAGCTCATTTTACTTAAGTTGTCTTTTGGCTGGGGGGATGTGATTATACTTATAAGTGTTTACTTTGATTAATTATGACTGTTTGGTGTCTAATGTGTTTTAAACAATGAACTTATGAACATCTACAGATGTTTATACTTATACCTTTTAATAAGTGTATGTTGGTTTATGTCAAAGGGGCGGGGCTTCGCCTTTAAAAGGCAGCCCAAACGCCAATTCACTGTCAATTAACCTGGCGAGTGAGCAAGTAACTGTGGTGGCGTAAGCAATTTGTGACCTGCGTATACTAGTGAGGTTGTACATATATCATTTGTTTGTTTGCTGTGTATTTGTTCTTTTATTTTTGGTTATTTTGTCACTTTGCTGGGTTTTTAGGTTATTTTGATTTTCACTCTTGCACACTGTAAATAAATTTATAAATTCCTAAGGTTTTCTCGCTTTACCATACATTGAGAACCCAGTGCGAGTCTTCCTGCTACGTCAACCTCACATTTGGTAGCAAGATCAGCAGCAATTTTATGTAATTTTATTTTTATAGCTGTATATTGTGACTCAAAAGATCAAAATATTACAAATGTTTAGGACACACAAGCACTTATATACTTAATATTTTATTGTCATCTCATTAGCACGCTAGCTTTAGTTGACAGGAGAAGCACTTTACCAACGAGACCAGCAGCCTGTAAGTACATTTAAGACTTGTTTCAGTTGTTGTGTATGGTTTGAGGTCTTGTTTTCAGCTGTTTGTGTAAGGTTGTAGGACATTTAAACTTGCTTTCAGTTGTGTATAATACTAGAAGTGTTTAGCCACTGTTTCCTTGGTTACTATAAGAGCTTGTGTGGCGAACGCAGACGGTTTCGCGTCGTCCGCCGCAGTTTCGGCCCTTGTTTTGACTCTCGAGGCATGTCCAGCTGAATTCAATCAGCTAGTGCTTTGGGGTTATATAAGCAACTAGTTTCACCGCGGCAGCCTCGTGTGAAGACCGACGAGTGTAAAGACCATCGACTCTACCTTCGCCATCGACTCTACCTGCGCGACTCCACCGAGCAAAGACAATGACAAAGCACTTGAGTACTTTACTTTCTTGTTTTACTTTATGTTTACACTTATTTTTTGTTGTCATTGCACTTTTGTTATGTGTTTTCTAATTTCTGTTGTTACTAACACTCGCAAAACACGGGAGGTACGCTGCAGGCGTAATCCTCACAACCTTCGTTCAGTACATGTATCTGCTATTTCACAACTCTCTCTCTCCGTGGGCCTCTGGAATTGTCAATCAGCTGTTAACAAGGCAGATTTTATTACCTACATAGCTACATATTTTGACTATAATCTTATGGCTCTAACTGAGACCTGGTTGAGGCCGGAGGACACTGCAACACATGCTACTCTTTCTGCTAATTTCTCTTTTTCCCACACTCCTCGTCAGACAGGGAGAGGGGGTGGGACTGGATTACTGATTTCCAAAGAATGGAAATTTACTCTGAGTCCGTCCCTGCCAACAATCAGCTCCTTTGAATTCGATGCAGTCACCATTATCCACCTCTTCTACATAAATGTGGTTGTCATCTACCGCCCACCGGGTAAATTACGTCACTTCTTAGATGAACTGGATGTTCTTCTCTCATCTTTTTCTAATTTTGACACTCCCTTGTTGGTGCTAGGTGACTTCAACATTTACATTGAGAAACCGCAAGCTGCTGACTTTCAGACTCTGCTTGCCTCTTTTGACCTAAAAAGAGCACCTACTTCTGCTACCCACAAATCAGGAAATCAGCTAGACCTTATTTACACACAACAATGCTTCGCTGATCAAACAATAGTAACTCCACTACAAATATCGGATCATTTCCTTCTGTCTCTCAACGTCCACATTACTCTTGCGCCGCCACACACTCCAACACTGGTTACCTTTCGCAGAAACCTCCGATCTCTCTCACCCAATAGACTATCCACCATTGTTTCAGACTCTCTTCCTCCATCTTGCAAACTCTCTGCACTTGATATGAACAGTGCCACTGATACACTCTGCTCCACACTAGCATCATGTCTAGACCGATTATGTCCTCTTGCATCCAGGCCAGCCCGTGCCAGTCCTCCTGCACCCTGGCTCTCGGATGCTCTCCGTGAGCATCGCTCAAAACTTCGGGTTGCAGAGAGAATTTGGCGGAAAACTAAAAATCCTGCACAGCTCTTAACATACCAAACTCTCCTGTCTTCTTTCTCGGCTGAAGTTACTTCTGCAAAGCAGACATATTTCCGTCAGAAAATCAACAATGCCACTAATCCTCGCCTACTTTTTAAAACATTTTCCTCCCTCCTCTATCCTCCTCCTCCACTCGCATCCTCCACACTTACTACTGATGACTTTGCTACATTCTTTTGCACCAAAACTGCAAAAATCAGTGCTCAATTTGCTGCACCTACAACAAACACGCAAGATACACCACCAACACCACACACACTCACCTCTTTTTCTCAGCTCTCTGAGTCTGAGGTGTCCAAACTCGTGCTATCTAGCCATGCAACCACCTGTCCACTCGATCCCATTCCCTCTCATCTCTTGCAAGCCATCTCTCCTGCAGTCATACCAACACTGACTCACATAATTAACACATCTCTTGACTCTGGTTTATTCCCCACTTCATTTAAGCAGGCTAGGGTAACCCCAGTGCTTGGTCTTAAATATTTTTAAACAGGTTTTAATTTTCCTTTGTTCATGCATTGCTGTCCAATCTGACCAAAACCCCATACAATCACCAACAGTCCATCTCAATCAAACTGTAAACTTTTTTATTTAAAAAGGTAAAGTTTTACTCTATTTATCATAATGGTTTAATTATTTTCCTTACAATGACATTTGTTTCTCCATGTACTGCTGAGGACACTGACCTGGACAGATTGTTGTCCATAGATTTAGTTTATTATAGTTTTTAAATCTTTTAAAACATTTGTTCACTTTAGTATTATTTTAAAGAAGTTTAGGTTGGGGAAAACTGTATGGATATGAGCAGAGCTTGCTTGTTTTTACACAATATTTAAAACATTTAGTTAAGAAAAAAATTCTAAAATAATTTAATTGTTTATTAATAATGTATTATAAGCATTAAATTATTATTATTATAAAAAAATTTTGATAGGTCAAATAAATTTCTTTTTCATCTGGGTAATTTGAAAAATCCTTAGTCTTTAGCGCTTTATGAGTCTAAAATTTCATTCAAAATGGTCTTAAAATGTCTTAAAAAGGTGAAATCTGTAAGAAAAAAGTAAGAAGTCAGTGTACAATCAGTAACTGGTCACATAATAAATAAAAACAAGACATGATGTTGATTTTATGATGCTTTATTAATTCACCAGTATATAAGAAACACACATGACATATATAGTGCATTTGCATATGTGTATAATAATAATATAATAACAATACATTCAAAACATTCATGACATATTAATTAATCAACAAAAGCACTCATATGTAAGTTGCCCTGCACTATTAAAGAAGATGACAAGGCAACAATATAATACAAAGAGCAATCCAATGCAGCAGTCCTCAGGTGTGCTAGGGTTGCTGAGTTGTTTCTCCTGTCTTACTCCATGACCTGAAACATAAATCAGTGTTATTCGTCTAAATACATTACATTTTGGACAGAATTTAAAGGATTAGTTCACCCACAACTGAAAATTACGTTTTAATCACTCATTCCAATTCCCTAAGACTTCTGCTCATCTTCGCTAGCTTTTTTTTTTAGGTGCACAAATAAGTTCTTGGACCTTGGTATGATTACAGTTAATGTCACATGCAATGTTTTAACCTTTTCTAGACTTTGAACACCTCAGGACTGTTCCTGTCTAAGAAGGATGAGAGAACTCCTGGATTTGACCTAAGACAGAGGTGCTCAACCCTGTTCCTGGAGATCTACCTTCCTACAGAGTTCAGCTCCAACTCTGATTAAGCACACCTGAAGCAATTATTTAGGACCTGAACAGCACTTGATAATTACAGGCAGGTGTGTTTGACATGAGTTGCAACTGAAATCTTCAGGAAGGTGGATCTCCAGGAACGGGGTTGAGCACTCCTGATATCTTAATTTGTGTTCTGAAGATGAAAGTCTCAGTGGGTTGGAACGACATGAGGGTGAGTAATTAATAACAGAATTTTCTTTTTTGGGGGGTTAAGTAATGCTTTAAGACATAAGATCAGCTGTGTCCAAACTTTTTTTTATGAAGGGCTAAAAACCAATCTTGACTGAGCGTGTTGGACCAAAGTATACCAAACTCATTACATTGAAGTTGCCATTGGTGATTTCCTAAGTTATTCAACATTTAAACAAAACTAGAGAGCATTGATTTATATTAACTAATGCAGTATTTATTCGTTCAGTAAAAACAATCCTATTTATAACAGTGGAGTTACACTAGTCAAGCTGCACCTGTTTTTTGCCTTGATGTGCATCACTGATGTGTTCCTCTATTTATTGAGTGACTATTTATATTTAATATAACATTTAATCGAATCTTTTACTTTCAGTTCGTGTTTCTGTTGTCATTCTCACTCTCTTTTTAGATGGGATGGTGGGCCAAATCAAAGGGCAAATCAAGCTATTAAAGGCTAACTTTGGCCTGCAGACTCTGGTTTGGACACCTCTGCTTAAGATGATCAACAAAAATGAAAGCCATTTAGCTTTAGGCTTCATACCTTAAACCAGTTATGGAGATGCATCTCCTGCAGAGCGAGTCTCTCATCTGGGTTTGGCTGTAGACAACCGCAGATCATCTGGCAGCATTCTGTGCAGAAAGAAGAATGGGGTGTTTAAGTTTAATAGTTTATAGATCTTATTCTACAATGCTGAAGTGCGTTTGTACTTCCGATTCAGTTGCCTATGGGAGAAATGACTTGGAATAATAAACGGTCAAACTGCTCGCTCTACACACAAGTGTGTTCATGACTGTACATAAAAAGTAGAATGATATAATAAGACAATGTTGGTGTGCAACATTAACCAGCATAGCAAGCAGTTTTTAACGTCTTAAAATCAATGGAAGTGAATAAGATTGGAAGTCTCGAATCGAAAAGATTACAATGGTTGCACACGCTCGTACGTCAAAAATAGTTAAAAGACCTGCTCTCTTCACACTTTGATGAAGCTCTCACCTATTGACAGGCCAGGGCTAGACCAAAGATAGTCCCTGATCAAGGAGTGGTCGGAGACAGTGGGTAAAGCCCCACACATCATTGCGAACAGGACGATCCCTAGAGACCAAACAGTCGCCGGCTGTGCATGGTACCTGCCATGCAATTCGTACTCCGGAGGGAAATATTTTCTTGTGCCTAGAAAAAAAAAGATATCATCCAATGGTTTATATGTTTAAACAGAATCTTCAGTGTGTGGTTTTTATGAAAACAAAGTTCATAACACTTACCACAGAAGACTTTGTAGCCGGAATCCTTTACGATCGCACCACAGCCGAAGTCTATTAGCTTTACCTCCAAAGTGTCTGGATTCACCAGGAGGTTTTCAAGTTTTATGTCCCGATGGAAGACACCGCGATCAAAGCAAACGCTCACAGCATGAATGGCCTGCCGCATTATATGGCGTCCCGTCTTCTCATCAAGAGGTCCATCCTTGTGGCGTAAGAAGTGAAGCAAGTCCATACAAGGTATGGGTCGCTCCATGATTATAATGTAGTGGGCATCGTTGTCCTCCCAGTCTAGGAGTTGGATTATCTCGGGGACGTAGGGACCATTGTTGGCCATGATTGTCAGGGCAATTTCTGTAGGGAGGGGTTTGTCATAACCAGGCTAAAGGAGAGAAATGATGACAGTTAGACAGTTTCCTGAAGCTCTCTTATTAAAAACTCAATTGTAATCGGACATTAACATACATATAAGGCTCTGAAACAATCTAATCAAGTGGATTTATCTAAATACTGTTGTAAATGGAGTCTTTAGCTTATCTACTTATTTTTCTTCAGATGTTTTATGTAGTAGGCCAATAGTTTCACAAAACCATTTTGTTTTCAATTCTGTTTTAATTTCTACATGATAAAGTCTAGTTTAGATGTAAGCTGCTCGTTCTTCATGTGTGCTGTCATCTTTGTTTAGATCATGATTCAATTACAGTGGTTACCTCTAATTTTAAATGGAAAGCACAAAGCAAAACAAAAGCCTTACTTTACTTGCTTACGTACTTACTAAAAGGACATGTTTTCATTTACTATATAACGTCTTCAATCCCATTTTGTCCCATCCTAAGAAAATCAAATCTAGAATCAAATCAAATCATGACATTGAACTGTATCTGGACTACTCACCACTGTCATTTCCTTCATCTTCGGTGACTTGACAGTACATTTCACAGCAACCTGATCAACAAAGCAAAGAATTAGCAGTTAGCATGTGGTAGAAGTTTTGAATAAAGCAATGATAAAGCAATGTTTTGTTAGTGAAAGCACCTCAAGTCCATCCCTGCGGCGTGTGGCTTTGTAGACAGAGCCGAATCCACCTTTGCCCAGCTTGTCACCCATTTCATAATGCCTTAAAATGGTGTCTGTCAAAAAATAAACAACTGCAGTCAGTATGATGTACAATTTTAGATATATATATTTTGTATTCACGTTTGTAATACTAATAACAATTCCTATCTTACCATTTTCTGTGTCGTCCTCCTCTAGCTGCTCAGCAGCAGGGACATGGTCTTCTGAAGCAGAAGCTGTAATACGAATCAAGTCACCGTTGTGTAAATAGCACTTTATATAATACAGATTATCATGTTTTTTAATTAGTCTATGAATGTAAAGTCACATATTTAGACTTATTTTAATTTCATCCCACACAGAAATCTGATATATGTCAATTTGATATACTGTATGTACTGTGTGTGTGTGTGTGTGTAGCCACAAATAAACATATACATATATTATTATAGCTATTATATTTGTACATATTACATATTTGCTTATTTTTTACTACTTATTTTTGTATATATGTACGTATTTATAATGCAAATGGTTGAAAAAACAAATATAAACGGCCATTTTTTGCAATCATTTAACATATATGACACATTTTACATGCAAAATCCAAAAATGAACTTGTATGTCATATTTGTAATTTGCATATATTTTCATATATCACATTTCTATAGAACATTTGAGGGATGTAAACATTAACAGTGGTTCTAACATATATCCTGTTTTACATTTTTCATTTCCACAGCTTCCGAGAATACAGAAATTTCCACATATTGATAAATATTGCTATGATAGCTGTTTTAACGTTAAATTATGATTGGATTTGCCTTTTATTAAGGTTTCGAAATAGTTTGACATCAAGCAGGATTTGTTTATGGGCCAATGATATTAATACATTAAAATTGTATATACAAGACCAGTTATAAAAATATTACTTGATTAGAGATTTGGCCATTAAACAATACTTGTATCATAATCACTTGTGAGTGTGATTTTACCTCTACTAGACTTCCAGACGTCCTTTTCTTCTTTACTCGCTTCAGGAACCTCATCAGGCCCAATGGGTGTTTCAATGGGCTGACTAGAAACTTTTTGCTCTAACATGGCTTCATGGTAGTCTTTCGTGGCCTGGACAAGGTCGTATGTTCTAGTTTTGTAAAGGAAGTCTGGCCACTTCCAGAAGCCCTTTTTCTCCTTTCTCTCTTTAGCAACCTCATCAGGCCCAACAGGTGTTTCAATGGGCTGACAAGAAACTTTTTGCTCTAACATGGCTTCATGGTAGTTCTTCGTGGCCTGGACCAGGTTGAATTTTCCAGTTTTGCGACGGAAGACTGGCCACTTCCAGAAGCCTTTTTTTACCTTTCTTACTTCTGGAACCTCTTCAGGCCCAACAGGTGTTTCAATGGGCTGACAAGAAACTTTCTGATATACCTCAGCCTCATACTGGTATTTCTTCGCAGCCTGGACAAGGTCGTATTTTCCAGTTTTGCGACGAAGAACTGGCCACTTCCAGAAGCTTCTCTTTTTCTCCTTTCTCCCTATCTCTCCAACCTCAACATGCGGCTCATCAGAAAGATGAAGATGGTTCTCCGGCATGTTGGGGGTGTACTTGAGTAGTACACAGGGACTGTGATCAAACTGCATGATGAAAAATGTTTTCTGATAACTTTCTGATAAACTGTAATAGTAAACCGATCAATCTGCAACTCGAAATGCCAAAACTACAACCAACAAAAGCAAGTAGTAGAATGTCAGGCGATGATGTCATCCAGGCGCATTCTAAGAATTTTAATATGGAAGGCTTTGGGCTGTTGTTATTTTTCAAATGTTTTAATTTGTGCAAGTTTGAAATGAATGGGATCCTTTGCTGTTTTGTGTTTATAGTGGTTTGTAAATGCAGCACAGGGTTGCTTACAGGCTAAAATTATTAAGAAACCCGCATGGAGGAGTACATCAGATGTCTGTATTGTGCCAATTGTATTGTATTGGGTCAATATTTGATGGCAGCCTCATACACATGCTGCTATCTGTGTTGTTATTAATGTTAAAAGAGGAAAATGACTCACTTTTTGTGACTTGTAAGGATAAAAATTATACATATACATAAATATGAATGTATACGTCCCTTAATTTGTATATACATTTTTAATGAGGTCCAAATTATCAAGGTGAACCAACAGAGTGTCTTTATTTTCATACTCTTATTTCTTGGCTATCAATTTTTAATGACATTATGAATAATTAAATTCAGCAAAGAAGCAGTGGATATACTTTAATTCTATGATTTACCACAAATTTTGTTACAAATCTCTGAAATATTCTTGCAAAATATGACATTTTGTAAGGAAATATCCAAGAAAATGTGTATGGCTTTGTCTTGCGTTGACTGCTAAGTGTATTTTATAAATTCTGTGATGTACAGACATGGAAAAACATTCTCAGTTTGACTAAAACATACGTTTTTGTTTCATTCTACACAATTCTAATCAAATGTATTCCCAATTTTTTATAAATATATTGCCATTTTAGCATAAATCATTTTAAAATGTAAGTAGAAGTAAGTTTTAGACAAGTTTATAAAAGTTTAGTTTATTAAAAGTTAAGAAATCAATAGCTTAGGGCACATTAAGCTCATCAAATAAAAACTTTTGTTGTTTTGACCAACTTTTATTGTATGAAAATTAAAAATGCTCTAAATGACAATGTTTTTATTTAAAGTTTGGAAGAAATTGTATCAGTCCTTCATAGAATAAAACTAATAATAGCAGCTTCCTCAAACCCATAACTAGCAAACCCAGAGAAATGGAGAATCTCTAATTCCCAAATGCAGGGTTCCACACAATTTATTCAGGCTATCCCAACACAAATAGACTAAGTTAATGAAACTAATTTAAGTAGATTGAACATAAAACAATTGAGTTATCTCCAAAAAAATCTCAAGAATTGTGTTGCTTCAGCTCATTTTACTTAAGCTGTCTTTTGGCTGGGGGGATGTGTTTATACTTATAAGTGTTTACTTTGATCAATTATGACTGTTTGGTGTCTAATGTGTTTTAAACATTGAACTTATGAACATCTACAGATGTTTATACTTATACCTTTTAATAAGTGTATGTTGGTTTATGTCAAAGGGGCGGGGCTTCGCCTTTAAAAGGCAGCCCAAACACCAATTCACTGTCAATTAACCTGGCGAGTGAGCAAGTAACTGTGGTGGCGTAAGCAATTTGTGACCTGCGTATACTAGTGAGGTTGTACATATATCATTTGTTTGTTTGCTGTGTATTTGTTCTTTTATTTTTGGTTATTTTGTCACTTTGCTGGGTTTTTAGGTTGTTTTGATTTTCACTCTCGCAAACTGTAAATAAATTTATAAATTCCTAAGGTTTTCTCGCTTTACCATACATTGAGAACCCAGTAATTTTATTTTTAGAGCTGTATATTGTGACTCAAAAGATCAAAATATTACAAATATTATGGACACACAAGCACTTATATACTTAATATTTGATTGTCATCACATTAGACAACAAAATGACGTTTGCCTGAAAACCTTATGCTGAAATAAGAGCACTTTAAAAGCTTATTTGACAAAAATCATGACTACAACTTTTTTATGTTACTTTAACTTATTTAAATAAGTTAATCATGCTCCAACTACATTTTTTTCCATTTTTCAAAGTTTAACTTAATATTTTAGTCAGTTTGATTAATATAAGTTTGAATAGAAAAGTTAAAAACAGTGTAGTTATAACCTGTAGTCTGTTAGACTTGCTGCATGTTTATTTAGGTCAATGTCTGTTCATGCTCTTCTCTTTCTGTGCTATCAAACAGACTCATATATATATAATCTATGCTTTACGTTATAAATCAGCTCCTCCTAACATTCGTCATGTGGTATATCGCACACGATAGCTTTTTCTTTATCTGGAGATTATAAGTGTTATAATCTACTTAGGAGTGTTAAAGATTTTTTTTTAGGAAGTTATTGTTCATGCAGGAAAAAATAATGACAATTTTATATTGTATCTTAACCGTTTTGTTTTGTTTTTTAAAGAGCAATATACTTGTTTGGTGTTGGATTAAACAGATATGCGAAATATGTCTGGTTGCATAATGGTAAGAAATCTGGAGACTGGAATGTTTTGGCTCAAGAAAGCCAAAATATATATATTTTAAATGTTTCCTTGGGAATTCACAGAAAGACAAATAATTTATGTAATACTGTTATGTAGAGGGTTTCTGTGGGGTCTTAAAAAGTATTAAATCTCAAAACCCAAATCTTAGGCCTTAAAAAGTTCTAGATTTACTGTAATACTGTGTTATTGCTCTTAAATCTTTTTAAACAGGTTTTAATTTTCCTTTGTTCATGAATTGCTATACAATCTGTGCAAAACTCATACAATCACCAACAATCCACCTCAATGAAACTTTAAACTTTTTATTTAAAAAGGTAATGTTTAACTCTATTTATCATAATGGTTTAATTATTTTCCTTACAATGACATTTGTTTCTCCATGTACTGCTGAGGACACTGACCTGGACAGATTGTTGTCCATAGATTTAGTTTATTATAGTTTTTAAATCTTTTAAAACATGTTCATTTTATTATTATTTTAAAGAAGTTTATGTTGAGAAAAAACCGTATGGATACAAGTAGATCTTTCTTGTTTTTACACAATATTTAAAACATTTAGCTAAGAATAAAATCTAAAATATTTGAATTGTTTATTATTAATGTATTATTAGTATTAAATTATATATATATATTTTTTGATAGGTCAAATAAATTTCTTTTTCATCTGGGTAATTAAAAAAAATCCTTAGTCTTTAGCGCTTTATGAGTCTAATATTTAATTCAAAATGGTCTTAAAATGTCTTTAAAAGTTGAAACCTGTAGGAAAAAAGTAAGAAGTCAGTGTACAATCAGTAACTGGTCACATAATAAATAAAAACAAGACATGATGTTGATTTTATGATGCTTTAATAATTCACCAGTATATAAGAAACACACATGACATATATAGTGCATTTGCATATGTGTATAATAATAATATAATGACAATACATTCAAAACATTCATGACATATTAATTAATCAACAAAGGTAATCATATGTAAGTTGCCCTGCACTATTAAAGAAGATGACAAGGCAACAATATAATACAAAGAGCAATCCAATGCAGCAGTCCTCAGATGTGCTAGGGTTGCTGAGTTGTTTTTCCTGTCTTACTCCATGACCTGAAACATAAATCAGTGTTATTCGTCTAAATACATTACATTTTGGACAGAGTTTAAAGGATTAGTTCACACATAAATGAAAATCCCGTTTTTAATCACTCATTCCAATCCCCTAAGACTTTTGCTCATCTTCAGTAGCTTTTTTTTAGGTGCACAAATATGTTCCTGGACCTTGGTATGATTACAGTTAATGTCACATGCAATGTTTTAACCTTTTCTGGATTTTGAACACCTCAGGACTGTTCCTGTCTAAGAAGGATGAGAACTCCTGGATTTGATCTAAGACAGAGGTGCTCAACCCTGTTCCTGGAGATCTACCTTCCTACAGAGTTCAGCTCCAACTCTGATTAAGCACACCTGAAGCAATTAATTAGCCTGAACAGCACTTGATAATTACAGGCAGGTGTGTTTGACATGAGTTGCAACTGAAATCTTCAGGAAGGTGGATCTCCAGGAACGGGGTTGAGCACTCCTGATATCTTAATTTGTGTTCTGAAGATGAAAGTCTCAGTGGGTTGGAACGACATGAGGGTGAGTAATTAATAACAGAATTTTCTTTTTTGGGGGGTTAAGTAATGCTTTAAGACATAAGATCAGCTGTGTCCAAACTTTTTTTTATGAAGGGCCGAAAACCAATCTTGACTGAGCGTGTTGGACCAAAGTATACCAAACTCATTACATTAAAGTTGCCATTGGTGATTTCCTAAGTTATTCAACATTTAAACAAAACTAGAGAGCATTGATTTATATTAACTAATGCTGTATTTATTCGTTCAGTAAAAACAATCCTATTTATAACAGTGGAGTTACACTAGTCAAGCTGCACCTGTTTTTTGCCTTGATGTGCATCACTGATGTGTTCCTCTATTTATTGAGTGACTATTTATATTTAATATAACATTTAATCGAAACTTTTACTTTTAGTTTGTGTTTTTGTTGTCATTCTCACTCTCTATTTAGATGGGATGGTGGGCCAAATCAAAGGGCAAATCAAGTTATCAAAGGCTAACTTTGGCCTGCAGACTCTGGTTTGGACACCTCTGCTTAAGATGATCAACAAAAATGAAAGCCATTCAGCTTTAGGCTTCATACCTTAAACCAGTTATGGAGATGCATCTCCTGCAGAGCGAGTCTCTCATCTGGGTTTGGCTGTAGACAACCGCAGATCATCTGGCAGCATTCTGTGCAGAAAGAAGAATGGGGTGTTTAAGTTTAATAGTTTATAGATCTTATTCTACAATGCCGAAGTGCGTTAGTACTTCCGATTCAGTTGCCTATGGGACAAATTACTTGGAATAATAAACGGTCAAACTGCTCGCTCTACAAACAAGTGTGTTCATGACTGTGCATAAAAAGTAGAATGATATAATAAGACAATGTCGGTGTGCAACATTAACCAGCATAGCAAGCAGTTTTTAACATTTTAAAATCAATGGAAGTGAATAAGATTGGAAGTCTCGAACCAAAAAGATTACAATGGTTGCACACGCTCGTACGTCAAAAATAGTTATAAGACCTGCTCTCTTCACACTTTGATGAAGCTCTTACCTATTGACAGGCCAGGGCTAGACCAAAGATAGTCCCTGATCAAGGAGTGGTCGGAGACAGTGGGTAAAGCCCCACACATCATTGCGAACAGGACGATCCCTAGAGACCAAACAGTCGCCGGCTGTGCATGGTACCTGCCATGCAATTCGTACTCCGGAGGGAAATATGTTCTTGTTCCTAGAAAAAAAAGATATCATCCAATGGTTTATATGTTTAAACAGAATCTTCAGTGTGTGGTTTTTATGACAACAAAGTTCATAACACTTACCACAGAAGACTTTGTAGCCTGATTTCTTTACGATCGCACCACAGCCGAAGTCTATTAGCTTTACCTCCAAAGTGTCAGGATTAACTAGGAGGTTTTCAAGCTTTATGTCCCGATGGAAGACACCGCGATCAAAGCAAACGCTCACAGCATAAATGGCCTGCCGCATTATATGGCGTCCCGTCTTCTCATCAAGAGGTCCATCCTTGTGGCGTAAGAAGCCAAGCAAGTCCATACAAGGTATGGGTCGCTCCATGATTATAATGTAGTGGCCATCATTGTCCTCCCAGTCTAGGAGTTGGATTATCTCGGGGACGTAGGGACCATTGTTGGCCATGATTGTCAGGGCAATTTCTGTAGGGAGGGGTTTGTCATAACCAGGCTAAAGGAGAGAAATGATGACAGTTAGACAGTTTCCTGAAGCTCTCTTAATAAAAACTCAATTGTAATGGGACATTAACATACATATAAGGCTCTGAAACAATCTAATCAAGTGGATTTATCTAAATACTTATCTAAATGGAAAGCACAAAGCAAAACAAAAGCCTTACTTTACTTGCTTACGTACTTACTAAAAGGACATGTTTTCATTTACTATATAACGTCTTCAATCCCATTTTGTCCCATCCTAAGAAAATCAAATCTAGAATCAAATCAAATCATGACATTGAATTGTATCTGGACTACTCACCACTGTCATTTCCTTCATCTTCGGTGACTTGACAGTACATTTCACAGCAACCTGATCAACAAAGCAAAGAATTAGCAGTTAGCATGTGGTAGAAGTTTTGAATAAAGCAATGATAAAGCAATGTTTTGTTAGTGAAAGCACCTCAAGTCCATCCCTGCGGCGTGTGGCTTTGTAGACAGAGCCGAATCCACCTTTGCCCAGCTTGTCACCCATTTCATAATGCCTTAAAATGGTGTCTGTCAAAAAATAAACAACTGCAGTCAGTATGATGTACAATTTTAGATATATATATATTTTGTATTCACGTTTGTAATACTAATAACAATTCCTATCTTACCATTTTCTGTGTCGTCCTCCTCTAGCTGCTCAGCAGCAGGGACATGGTCTTCTGAAGCAGAAGCTGTAATACGAATCAAGTCACCGTTGTGTAAATAGCACTTTATATAATACAGATTATCATGTTTTTTAATTAGTCTATGAATGTAAAGTCACATATTTAGACTTATTTTAATTTCATCCCACACAGAAATCTGATATATGTCAATTTGATATACTGTATGTACTGTGTGTGTGTGTGTGTGTGTGTGTGTGTTGCCACAAATAAACATATACATATATTATTATAGCTAATATATTTGTACATATTACATATTTGCTTATTTTTTACTACTTATTTTTGCATATATGTACATATTTATAATGCAAATGGTTGAAAAAACAAATATAAACGGCCATTTTTTGCAATCATTTAACATATATGACACATTTTACATGCAAAATCCAAAAATGAACTTGTATGTCATATTTGTAATTTGCATATATTTTCATATATCACATTTCTATAGAACATTTGAGGGATGTAAACATTAACAGTGGTTCTAACATATATCCTGTTTTACATTTTTCATTTCCACAGCTTCCGAGAATACAGAAATTTCCACATATTGATAAATATTGCTATGATAGCTGTTTTAACATTAAATTATGATTGGATTTGCCTTTTATTAAGGTTTCGAAATAGTTTGACATCAAGCAGAAATTGTTTATGGGCCAATGATATTAATACATTAAAATTGTATATTCAAGACCAGTTATAAAAATATTACTTGATTAGAGATTTGGCCATTAAACAATACTTGTATCATAATCACTTGTGAGTGTGATTTTACCTCTACTAGACTTCCAGACGTCCTTTTCTTCTTTACTCGCTTCAGGAACCTCATCAGGCCCAATGGGTGTTTCAATGGGCTGACTAGAAACTTTTTGATTTAACATGGCTTCATGGTAGTCTTTCGTGGCCTGGACAAGGTCGTATGTTCTAGTTTTGTAAAGGAAGTCTGGCCACTTCCAGAAGCCCTTTTTCTCCTTTCTCGCTTTAGCAACCTCATCAGGCCCAACGGGTGTTTCAATGGGCCGACAAGAAACTTTTTGCTCTAACATGGCTTCATGGTAGTTCTTCGTGGCCTGGACCAGGTTGAATTTTCCAGTTTTGCGACGGAAGACTGGCCACTTCCAGAAGCCTTTTTTTACATTTCTTACTTCTGGAACCTCTTCAGGCCCAACAGGTGTTTCAATGGGCTGACAAGAAACTTTCTGATATACCTCAGCCTCATACTGGTATTTCTTCGCAGCCTGGACAAGGTCGTATTTTCCAGTTTTGCGACGAAGAACTGGCCACTTCCAGAAGCTTCTCTTTTTCTCCTTTCTCCCTATCTTTCCAACCTCAACATGCGGCTCATCAGAAAGATGAAGATGGTTCTCCGGCATGTTGGGGGTGTACTTGAGTAGTACACAGGGACTGTGATCAAACTGCATGATGAAAAATGTTTTCTGATAACTTTCTGATAAACTGTAATAGTAAACCGATCAATCTGCAACTCGAAATGCCAAAACTACAACCGACAAAAGCAAGTAGTAGAATGTCAGGCGATGATGTCATCCAGGCGCATTCTAAGAATTTTAATATGGAAGGCTTTGGGCTGTTGTTATTTTTCAAATATTTTAATTTGTGCAAGTTTAAAATCAATGGGATCCTTTGCTGTTTTGTGTTTATAGTGGTTTGTAAATGCAGCACAGGGTTGCTTACAGGCTAAAATTATTAAGAAACCTGCATGGAGGAGTACATCAGATGTCTATATTGTGCCAATTGTATTGTATTGGGTCAATATTTGATGGCAGCCTCATACACATGCTGCTATCTGTGTTGTTATTAATGTTAAAAGAAGAAAATTACTCACTTTTTGTGACTTGTAAGGATAAAAATTATACATATACATAAATATGAATGTATACGTCCCTTAATTTGTATATACATTTTTAATGAGGTCCAAATTATCAAGGTGAACCAACAGAGTGTCTTTATTTTCATACTCTTATTTCTTGGCTATCAATTTTTAATGACATTATGAATAATTAAATTCAGCAAAGAAGCAGTGGATATACTTTAATTCTATGATTTACCACAAATTTTGTTACAAATCTCTGTAATATTCTTGCAAAATATGACATTTTGTAAGGAAATATCCAAGAAAATGTGTATGGCTTTGTCTTGCGTTGACTGCTAAGTGTATTTTATAAATTCTGTGATGTACAGACATGGAAAAACATTCTCAGTTTGAGTAAAACATACGTTTTTGTTTCATTCTACACAATTCTGATCAAATTTATTCCCAATTTATTATAAATATATTGCCATTTTAGCATAAATCATTTTAAAATGTAAGTAGAAGTAAGTTTTAGACAAGTTTATAAAAGTTTAGTTTATTAAAAGTTAAGAAATCAATAGCTTAGGGCACATTAAGCTCATCAAATTTTTTTTGTTTTGACCAACTTTTATTGTATGAAAATTAAAAATGCTCTAAATGAGAATGTTTTTATTTGAAATTTGGAAGAAATTGTATCAGTCCTTTATAGAATGAAACTAATAATAACAGCTTCCTCAAACCCATAACTAGCAAACCCAGAGAAATGGAGAATCTCTAATTCCCAAATGCAGGGTTCCACACAATTTATTCAGGCTATCCCAACACAAATAGACTAAGTTAATGAAACTAATTTAAGTAGATTGAACATAAAACAATTGAGTTATGCCCAAAAAAATCTCAAGAATTGTGTTGCTTCAGCTCATTTTACTTAAGCTGTCTTTTGGCTGGAGGGATGTGTTTATACTTATAAGTGTTTACTTTGATTAATTATGACTGTTTGGTGTCTAATGTGTTTTAAACAATGAACTTATGAACATCTACAGATGTTTATACTTATACCTTTTAATAAGTGTATGTTGGTTTATGTCAAAGGGGCGGGGCTTCGCCTTTAAAAGGCAGCCCAAACGCCAATTCACTGTCAATTAACCTGGCGAGTGAGCAAGTAACTGTGGTGGCGTAAGTAATTTGTGACCTGCGTATACTAGTGAGGTTGTACATATATCATTTGTTTGTTTGCTGTGTATTTGTTCTTTTATTTTTGGTTATTTTGTCACTTTGCTGGGTTTTTAGGTTGTTTTGATTTTTACTCTCGCACACTGTAAATAAATTTATAAATTCCTAAGGTTTTCTCGCTTTACCATACATTGAGAACCCAGTGCGAGTCTTCCTGCTACGTCAACCTCACATTTGGTAGCAAAATCAGCAGCAATTTTATGTAATTTTATTTTTAGAGCTGTATATTGTGACTCAAAAGATCAAAATATTACAAATATTATGGACACACAAGCACTTATATACTTAATATTTGATTGTCATCACATTAGACAACAAAATGACGTTTGCCTGAAAACCTTATGCTGAAATAAGAGCACTTTAAAAGCTTATTTGACAAAAATCATGACTACAACTTTTTTATGTTACTTTAACTTATTTAAATAGGTTAATCATGCTCCAACTACATATTTTTTTAGTTTTTCAGAGTTTAACTTAATATTTTAGTCAGTTTGATTAATATAAGTTTGAATAGAAAAGTTAAAAACAGTGTAGTTATAACCTGTAGTCTGTTAGACTTGCTGCATGTTTATTTAGGTCATTGTCTGTTCATGCTCTTCTCTTTCTGTGCTATCAAACAGACTCATATATATATAATCTATGCTTTACGTTATAAATCAGCTCCTCCTAACATTCGTCATGTGGTATATCGCACACGACAGCTTTTTCTTTATCTGGAGATTATAAGTGTTATAATCTACTTAGGAGTGTTAAAGATTTTTTTTTAGGAAGTTATTGTTCATGCAGGAAAAAATAATGACAATTTTATATTGTATCTTAACCGTTTTGTTTTGTTTTTTAAAGAGCAATATACTTGTTTGGTGTTGGATTAAACAGATATGCGAAATATGTCTGGTAGCATAATGGTAAGAAATCTGGAGACTGGAAGTCAAGAAAGCCAAAATATATATATTTTAAATGTTTCCTTGGGAATTCACAGAAAGACAAATAATTTATGTAATACTGTTATGTAGAGGGTTTCTGTGGGGTCTTAAAAAGTATTAAATCTCAAAACCCAAATCTTAGGCCTTAAAAAGTTCTAGATTTACTGTAATACTGTGTTATTGCTCTTAAATCTTTTTAAACAGGTTTTAATTTTCCTTTGTTCATGAATTGCTATACAATCTGTGCAAAACTCATACAATCACCAACAATCCACCTCAATGAAACTTTAAACTTTTTATTTAAAAAGGTAATGTTTAACTCTATTTATCATAATGGTTTAATTATTTTCCTTACAATGACATTTGTTTCTCCATGTACTGCTGAGGACACTGACCTGGACAGATTGTTGTCCATAGATTTAGTTTATTAGTTTTTAAATCTTTTAAAACATGTTCATTTTATTATTATTTTAAAGAAGTTTATGTTGGGGAAAAAACTGTATGGATACAAGTAGATCGTTCTTGTTTTTACACAATATTTAAAATATTTAGCTAAGAATAAAATCTAAAATATTTGAATTGTTTATTATTAATGTATTATTAGTATTAAATTATATATATATTTTTTTTTGATAGGTCAAATAAATTTCTTTTTCATCTGGGTAATTAAAAAAAATCCTTAGTCTTTAGCGCTTTATGAGTCTAATATTTAATTCAAAATGGTCTTAAAATGTCTTTAAAAGTTGAAACCTGTAAGAAAAAAGTAAGAAGTCAGTGTACAATCAGTAACTGGTCACATAATAAATAAAAACAAGACATGATGTTGATTTTATGATGCTTTAATAATTCACCAGTATATAAGAAACACACATGACATATATAGTGCATTTGCATATGTGTATAATAATAATATAATGACAATACATTCAAAACATTCATGACAAATTAATTAATCAACAAAAGCACTCATATGTAAGTTGCCCTGCACTATTAAAGAAGATGACAAGGCAACAATACAATACAAAGAGCAATCCAATGCAGCAGTCCTCAGGTGTGCTAGGGTTGCTGAGTTGTTTCTCCTGTCTTACTCCATGACCTGAAACATAAATCAGTGTTATTCGTCTAAATACATTACATTTTGGACAGAGTTTAAAGGATTAGTTCACTCACAAATGAAAATCCCGTTTTTAATCACTCATTCCAATCCCCTAAGACTTTTGCTCATCTTCAGTAGCTTTTTTTTAGGTGCACAAATATGTTCCTGGACCTTGGTTTGATTACAGTTAATGTCACATGCAATGTTTTAACCTTTTCTGGACTTTGAACACCTCAGGACTGTTCCTGTCTAAGAAGGATGAGAACTCCTGGATTTGATCTAAGACAGAGGTGCTCAACCCTGTTCCTGGAGATCTACCTTCCTACAGAGTTCAGCTCCAACTCTGATTAAGCACACCTGAAGCAATTAATTAGCCTGAACAGCACTTGATAATTACAGGCAGGTGTGTTTGACATGAGTTGCAACTGAAATCTTCAGGAAGGTGGATCTCCAGGAACGGGGTTGAGCACTCCTGATATCTTAATTTGTGTTCTGAAGATGAAAGTCTCAGTGGGTTGGAACGACATGAGGGTGAGTAATTAATAACAGAATTTTCTTTTTTGGGGGGTTAAGTAATGCTTTAAGACTTAAGATCAGCGGTGTCCAAACTTTTTTTTATGAAGGGCCGAAAACCAATCTTGACTGAGCATGTTGGACCAAAGTATACCAAACTCATTACATTAAAGTTGCCATTGGTGATTTCCTAAGTTATTCAACATTTAAACAAAACTAGAGAGCATTGATTTATATTAACTAATGCAGTATTTATTCGTTCAGTAAAAACAATCCTATTTATAACAGTGGAGTTACACTAGTCAAGCTGCACCTGTTTTTTGCCTTGATGTGCATCACTGATGTGTTCCTCTATTTATTGAGTGACTATTTATATTTAATATAACATTTAATCGAATCTTTTACTTTCAGTTTGTGTTTTTGTTGTCATTTTCACTCTCTATTTAGATGGGATGGTGGGCCAAATCAAAGGGCAAATCAAGTTATCAAAGGCTAACTTTGGCCTGCAGACTCTGGTTTGGACACCTCTGCTTAAGATGATCAACAAAAATGAAAGCCATTTAGCTTTAGGCTTCATACCTTAAACCAGTTATGGAGATGCATCTCCTGCAGAGCGAGTCTCTCATCTGGGTTTGGCTGTAGACAACCGCAGATCATCTGGCAGCATTCTGTGCAGAAAGAAGAATGGGGTGTTTAAGGGTAATAGTTTATAGATCTTATTCTACAATGCCGAAGTGCGTTAGTACTTCCGATTCAGTTGCCTATGGGAGAAATGACTTGGAATAATAAATGGTCAAA